TGCGGCCACACTCCACGCATCGGAACGGTTTCTCACCTGAGTTTGAGTAAAGATGAGCAAATAGACACAATCAAACAACAAAGAGAAATAGAGGGAAACCATAAAGTGAGATAAAAAAAAGTAGGATCTGGAAATGGCATCCTACAACCACCCACCTTTTTAATTAACTGCTTCCCCAGGAGGAAAGAATGGCAGTTACCACCAGCTGGTCAACACATGGACATCACACACATGTAACTACTACACACTGACAACACACATAGACATCATGCACACATTACTGGTTTAGCTCCATTTATGAATGAGATGAACATTGACACAATTACAGTATAGCTCCATTTATGAATGAGATGAACATTGACACAATTACAGTATAGCTTCATTTATGCATGAGATGAACATTGACACAATTACAGTATAGCTCCATTTATGTATGAGATGAACATTGACACAATAACAGCAATTTTCCTTCTGGGAAAAGCAGTAAAGTTTAAAGACAAACAGAAACAATAGACGGATAAAAGAGAAGAAGAAACTACATGTACCAGGGGCACCTTCCAACCACACATAACATGTTACTACCAACCATTGTCAGGACACAGCGACATTACGCATGAGTTACTGAACACTTTCAGTACACACAGACATCACACACTACCAACCTGGTATGTTTTAGTAGAGGTTTTACGGCACTCGCAACTGCATAAGATCATATGAGCACCAGAAGATTAGAGGTGTTACAAGAGTGTAACAAACATAAAAAAGAACAAGGGGAGATAAGGACGATAGACGTTTGATAGGAAAGAAGGAGCAGCCCACACCAGAGCACCCAACCACCCACACCAGCTGTAAACACACAGGGGCGTTTCACATGAGTTACTGCTACTTGTATGTGCGTTTATAGGTACACATCTCACTTGAGTACACATACATGCTCGTGGAAATGAAAGTGTTTTTGTACACTCATCAGCTTGTGTTTGTGCAATTATTGTACGTACAAATCTTTGTGCTTGTACAGACACACACATGCGTCACCACACGGCGCAATCAGGCGCTCGTCATTTTTTGGCATATGTGAGGCATCACGGAGAGATCAAGAGCTCGTCAAAATAATGAAATAAAAGAAAACAGCATTTTTCTTCCTGTTTGTTGAGTTTAATAAATTTTTGTTCTGTTTTGGGCTCAGCACCTTTTACGTTCTTTTAAAAACAAATTTCTCTGTGGATTTTTACTGAAAAACATTGATCAAACGCACAAATAAAAGTAAATTTGCAGTTTCCAAGGATACTCAAGCTTTGGAAGTCACTAAACTTTGGCAGTCATTTTTTCGCTAGTTTTACCTCTGACACCAGGCAACCCCCACCTCCTTCAATCACAAATAATAATAATATATCTCCACTTTTAGGTAGTTGGGTATTTTATTCACCAAAAGCGAGAGAAATGAACAAGTTTTAAGATGATACCTATAACTCTGTGTACCCAAAAATTGACGAGTGCCTGATTCCACTGTGTTGTAACACATATGTAGTCATTGATATCATCTTAAAACATGTTAGGTTGTATTGCTTTTTTTTTTTTTATAGTAGAGGGTTTTACGGCGCTCACAACTGCATAAGGTCATATGAGCGCCAAGGGGTGGGTGTCAACAGAGAAGTCTTTACGGGGAATCAGACTTAGATTGCTCACCTCTCTAGCTTCAACCAACTTCAACAGCACAAGGTCTGCTTCGACTATCAAGGCACCCCAAAATAGCAGGTCACAAGGGAGTGACAAACATACAAAAGAAATAGAGGAAAATGACAATAGTAAGGATCAGGAAAGAAAAAGCAGCAGTTCCCTGTTGTAGATCAGGCACAGTTATGAGCGTGACATGAGTCAGCCCATTTACAATTCTACTATGCTTGAACGAGATATGTCCCCCCCTTTGTGAATGGCCTAAAGACACTTCAGTCAGTGGCACTGCCCCTCGGGGTAGTATTGCTTTTGATGAATAAGATACCTTCTATCTATCTTGAAGAGAAGTCGAGTTATTTGTGTAGAAAAAATTGATAAAAATGAACAAACGGGAAGAAAAATATTGTTTTCTTCGATTTCATTATTTTTACGAGCCCTAGATCCCACCATGGTGCCCAACATATGTGGAACAGTTAGGGTTTTTTTAATGAGAAAATATCCCCCAAAAGAGGGACGTTTCTTGGTGTATTTTGAGGGAAAACTAACTGTTCATAAGTCAGTAATGAATTGGAAAAAATGAAGTGAACTTGGCATTTTTAAGTGATTTTTAAAGCATAATCTAGTTCTTCTGTCACTTTTTCATCGTTTGTATTACTTTTGAACTTTAAGACAAGTATTTGCATGAGAATTTGTTGAATTGTGTGGCATCGCTTGAACTGCTATCGACAGGGGAGCCCAGGCTTGCCAGGCATTAAAAAACTTCATAAGTTTTCAATACATCTTTGTATAAAAACTACTTAGGTTTAATTTAGAACATAATGAGCAGAAATTAGTTGAATTTACTATACCTGGTATAGAAACGATAATATAGCTTTGATCTTAAAAGAATTAGCCTGTTCTCCGATCACCATTTCTACAACTTAACAAAGTGGTATAAGAAAAACCCGCGATGGACTCCTTTATGACCTATTTAGTTCATAAGTCAGTAATGAATTGGAGAAAATGAAGGAAATTGGCATCTTCAGGAGATTTTTAAAGGCAGCCAATCACATGCCACCTAGCGATCATGCGCCCTCGGCATGTTGGCAGGCTAGCTCGTTCACTTTGTGACCCAGTTTCTGGCTCTCGTCTTTTATTCCTAGATGAGAGGTGATTTTAAGTTGATATATAGAATGTACAATTCATGACATGCAAGCACTGGTGGTAAAGGATCTGAAATTTTGCAGCAATAAAGGAAACATTTGGGGCACCTGTCTGGTCGGCGACCGATCTGCAGCTCCTCTGTATACTTTTTTAAAACGGAAGAAAATCGTACAAATACTGCAGTTTCTCGGTTTCTAGAAATTTGCCGGCATTGTATGCTCACATGTAGTAAGTTTGATCTTTTCTCTGGTTGGCTGCCAAGTTTCATTTATGTTCTTCCACAGGTTTTCCCGTAACTATACATAGAAGAGAGCCACCTCCGATCCTGAAGGCCCCAAAAATTACCCAATATGCAAAAGCCCAGTCAGTGGTCCAAAGCGCAGCGGGTGCTTGGCATTGCTAATATCTGTATGATCTGTATGATATATAATACACATAACATGTACAACTTTGTGCATTCAGACAAACCTGTATGAGTGCGACTGTGCCTTTCCAGGTCACTGCGTCGAGCAAAGCGGTTGCCGCACACACTACAGGGGTGGGGCCGGAATCCTGTGTGAATACGAGCGTGAGCCACCAGATGGCTGTGGCTGACAAACTTGCTGGGACAGAAAGAACACTGGAAGTTCTTGCCGCCCTCGTGTTGCTCGGCTCGGTGCTTCTGGAGCAGCTTCTGGCTGAGGAAACTCTGTGAGCAGCTAGCACACGGCCAGGCCAAGTCTTCCTCTGCTGCACAAAGACAGACACAGACAGACCGTTACCATTACGCCTTGGTTATGCAAGAATAGACAGACACTGAATTACACCAAGACCATTGCATATATACAGCTTTGACAGATACTGAGGCAGTAAGAAACATTAGGCCCCATAATTAGAAGATTAAAGAGTTACTACATAAAGTTGACCGTGGACCTCATTTGTCACACCCGGGTATCCCATCTTTTGGAAAAGGCTCACATACAGTAGAGACAGTTCTCATTGTGTTCTGGTTATACGAGAACAAGAGCTGACAGAAACATACAGACATTCGTTGAACAAGAATAAGAACAGACACACCGACAATGTCTCTTTAATAACAACAACCATAGACAGCATGCAAACAATAAAAATAATCATACATAAAAATGTCTTCATAGTCATGGAATAAAGGAATATCAGCAATAAACACTTACATTAATGTCTTCTTAGTACAACAATATATATACAGATAACCTTACAAATCAAAATGTATTGTAGAATAATAATAGCAACAACAGACAATACAGTCTTCATGGTACAACAACAGACAAGCACAAAGAACGGAATCTTCCTATTCCCCTTTGATAAATTCCTCTATAACTAGCTCTATAATATTAATACGGAAACCTGTCTAATGCGGAAATGGAAAGAGAAATTCCTGTCTAAGATAGAAAATGCTTTGCCCACTCAGCCCTGATTTGAAACAAAACTACAAGCATAAAGTTTGGTTCCATAAGCTCTAACCTTTACACCAAGCTGTAAGTTGTAAGGCAAGGAAGGGGAGTAAGGGAGCGACTCGGGGGTAGAAGTTACCCCATCCAAGTGAGCCCTATGAAAGTGCTAGAGTAGTGTACCAGCATGGAAACTTTCTTGGGTAGCCAGAGGCCAGAGGTGTGAAATCAGTTTGACCAATGCCAGCTGTTCTAAACGTTCAAGGAGAAGGTTTGCGTGTGACCAAGGCCCATACAACCAGACGGATTTAGAACACTAAACTAAGTCTCACCCCCAAAAAAGCCTTTTTTTTTCATTACGAGGGTGATAAAATCGGTCCTCTTTGATCCTCCACACTTAATTAAGAATTGGAAACAATTTGTTGATGTACCACAACTTCTGTGGGCCTACTCATCATGATGATACTGCGAGCTGGGCAGTTATTGAAAATTTCTATGAAAAAGACAGTGCCTTAGGTATATTTAGGGTGGCACCCAAGTTAACCAACTGTGTGTCAAGTTTTAAATGACAAAGGGTTTGTTTGGCTGTGCACGTGCTTAGTGGCAGTGTATCGAAAGCAATTGAATTGGGACACTATATGTATCTCGAAATTAATCCTTTGTCTGACATCGCTATATCTGATTTCTGTAATGACTCTGATGATCTTTTCAACGTTTTCATTAGGTCACTTGTGTCATTTTCTATAGAATATCGTAACCCAGTCACAACTACATCACAGCACCATGAACTTTTGCAGCAGACACTTCTGTGGTTGGAAGATAATTCATGAACTTAGGCCCAAAAGACAAAAAAAAGTTGCAAAAGCATAAATGTGAGTCAGTGAGTGGATCCACAACATCACTGCTTTGCAAGGTCTTGTGGCAGACACTGTGAGCGGTGGTGGATTACTTACAGTGATATCAAGAAGAACTTGAAAATCTGTTCTCAGTCACCATGAGAGGAAAAGGTGGACATAATATAATCTTGACAATCCAGACCCCCCCCCCCCCCCCCTTCCCAGAACAGTTACATTTTCGTTTAAAGAGACAGATACTGGCCGACAAAATTATGATGGCATCGCCTTCAAGCAGTTGCAGGGTTGTAGTGGATAGCTTTTTGATAAATCTAACGAGTAAGAATTTTAGTCAAACAATAGTTGCAATTCCGGTAGACCTTGATAAAGAACACAGACACATTGTTAATTTTGTTAAATTTTGCAATCCATTAAAGATGTAATGCGCTTATAAATGAAATTTCTGACCTAAGTTGATACACTTTGAAAAAACTTTACGATGTAGTCTGCAACGACTGTACAGAGATATTGGAAGATTCCACATCTTCCCATGCAAGGCACCTGACCCTCATCAGCCAGAAACAGATTTGAACATTGTCGTCACGATGGCTTGAAAAAAAAAGTTCTAACCCTGTGGAATTTGTTGGTTTGTTTGAAGCTGGGTTTTTTAAACGCAAGTTAAACCTTTGATGAACAGAGCGCACAGTAGACAGAATCTAAACTTGAAAATGCCCCAGGAGCCAAACACAATTGAAAACAAAGGTGATTCCTGCAAATGCAACACAGTGTACTTTGAATTGGTGTATTTATTAACGTCAGAATGCACGATAATCTTTACAGTGTAGTAAAAAATTTGTGGTGCAACTTGTCCTCAAACATCTCTTTAACTTTAACGGGAGAATCAATGTAACCTAAACTTTGCACAGCAGTTTGTATCAATTTATCATAACGTATTCATATTTTCCCACAACAATTGAGGCTAGATTTAAAAACATGAAGTTATATAAAATACTAAAATGGGGCCAACTGGTCACCCCAAAACTCGTGTTATAGTAGCACTGCATGTGTCGTGTGAGCTCATTGCATTAATGCGCAGAGCAACGCGCGCAGCGCTGACCTCGATTCTCCAATAGCGCACAAAGGCCGAAGAAGGATTGCACCGTCTCGGTATTTACGGTCTCTGGGTGGGGCAAAGGGTGGAGAGCAAAGGAGATGTTTAATCATTTTCGTTTTTAAGAGGTCAATCAGTGTTCCTATGGGATGCAAACACAGGTGGTAATGGATAAGAAGGACTGAGGCATGCCATTATCAGAGAGATTAGGATAGCATAAATATTTGAGAGGTGTGAAGTTGTGACCACTTCTTGCCGACAGAACAAGCAACCCTTGACCCCACCAGCTGGGTCTCTGAAACCCCCCTCCATCGCCCCTTAAATTCCCGCCTACGACGGAAAATGTCTAAGACAGAATTTTTCTCTGGCTCCCATGCGATATCATCTTACACTGGTTTGACTGCAATATAATATATTCAACCTGAAAAAACATACAGACTGACACACAGACATATACAACAATAACAAACACACAGACAATAATGTCTTCACTGCTCTTCTTCTTCTTGATCAAGATCGCATCACACTTGAAGTCCGGTGCCTATCATATACTGGGCCGTCCTGCTCAGTTCATCTGTCAGCCCATATAGCTTCTCTTGAGGTGTCAATGGAGTTGGCCACGTTTCCTGTCTCAGGGCCGTGTGTCTTGCAGTGTTGAAGGATGTGTTCCACAGTTTGGTCCACCTCTCTCCACTGGCATTTTGGTGATTGTACTCGTTTAAAACATCTGTACCCGTGTTGTCCCAATCTCGGGCGTTGTTTTCTTTGTCGGAAGATAATCACTTGTTCTTGGCGGGACAGCTCATAGTAGCTATCTGGTGTCTGTGTCAAGTATCTGTGGTGCCTTAAAAAGTGTATTTAGAAGAATTTTGATTTCAGTGTAGTTGATTTTGTTGTCTGGTTGCTTTTTTTGTGCGCCTAGTTTGGTCATCCTGTCTGCCCGTTTAATTTTTAAGACACCACAGTGTGATGGGATCCTCTGCAGCATGATCTTTAGGCATGGGATGACTTCCATTATTTCTCGCAGCCAGAGGAGTTTGCCGGCAGAACTAGCATAGCATCTCTTAGGAATACTTCTAGGCTTTGGGGGTCTACCACGTCCCTGATGATGTTTGCAGCATGTATTAAAATATCCGTCTCTGCCCCGTAGTTTGTACAATGTCGGCCTGTTGGGACTGCCTCTGCTTGGAGTCTTCCATTAGAGAACTGTACGTACACTCCTCTTCTTTTCATGGCATCAGTGGCAGATCCGTCTGCATAGATCCTTATCCATGCTTCGCGGGGGTACCTTTCTCCAAGCATGGACAGGGTGAGGGTTTCTTTACTCAGGCTGCAGAGGTCATCTTTCGAGGTGAAACACACAGATAGAAGTGTGAATAATCAAGCTTGTGCTTTTCTTTTCCCACAATGGTGCCTCTGAGGTATGGTTCAGCATGTACACTGTGCCTGGCAGATGGTCTTATAAGGATCTGTGTATTCTTCTGCTTTCCTTTATTTTATTATAAAGTTGGACCTTTCAATGCTTGCGGTGTTTGTTCCGGCTGTTCTTGTTGCATTAAATGACCTTCCATAGCTCTCACAATGGTGTATTGTGTCAGGGTCTTGCACTCCCATCTTCTCCGCAGGGCAACTACAGATGTCTTTTGTTCCATCTTTTCTAGAGGCGTTGACCTCATTGCTTCGATGATTATTCGGAGAGCCTGGTTTTGCATTTTCTCTGGAGTGTGTTTGTAAGTCTGTGTTGCAGTCATCCATGCACTGGATCCGTACTCGAGATGGGGCCTGATTGCATCCAGATAGACCTGTCTAAGTGTTTTGTCACTGGCTCCCCCACTGAATCCCTTCAAGTTTTCTCATGTTAAGCTTCTTCCTGGCTTTAGTTTCTGCATTCTGAATGTGTTTGTTGCTTCCATGTGAGACGCTCGTCAAAGATTAGTCCAAGATACTTCTGTTGGTTTTCAAACTTTAATGGGGTCTTGTCCAGAGTGAGGTTTTTTTTGGCTCAGCCTGGCTGGGAGTGAAGAGTGTAGCAGAGGACTTTTTCTTTGTTTTGGTTACACACCAGATTTTTGTCCAAGCAGTGAGCTTGTCCAGTGATATGCATGCGATATGTGGCAGTGGTGACAAATTCCTCAGAGCACCAAAGAACCAGGTCGTCTGCAGACAATGCGGCATGTATTCCTTTGGGTACTTTTTTCCCCGAGGTCATAGATGAAGAGGATAAAGAACAAAGGTGACATGACTCCACCTTGGGGTACCCCAAGTCGCAGCAGCATTTTCCGTCCTCCATATCCATCCACCAGCACACGTGTTCTACTGTTGTTCAGATAGGATTTGGTCCATAGGTACATATCGCCTTGGACACCACTTGTAAGGACTCCCCTTCAAAACCTTGTCAAACACTTTTGCAGATCAATAAATGCAGCCAGCAGCACTTTTTGGGTCTGAAAGGAGTCCTCTATGACTTGGGACAAGTAAATTGTTTGGTCCTCTGTGCTCCTGAACTGACAGTATCCAGCTTGCTCTTGTAGAAGGATTGTTGTGTTTCTAGATAACATTGCATTCTGCAAGCTATGATGCGCTCCATTGTTTTACATACACAGTTTGTGAGGCAGATAGGTCTACAGCTTAAAGGTAGTGTCTTATTTTTTGTTTTCCTGGCTTGATGATCAGGATGATCGTTGCTTCTTTCCAACACTGGGGAACTTGCCAATTTTCCCAGCTTAAGTTGAAAATATCCAGCAAGGTCTGCAAGGCGTTTTTGCTCTTTTAAATTATAAACAGTCAAAACTTACCATGCAAAAGGTTTAATCAAATTGATGGCCAGCTCACTTGCCCACCACCCAACCATCCTGTGGAGACAGACAGGGGATGACACTGACCTGGGACAGCGCCGTCACCCATGTTGACATCGTCCCAGTCCAGGCTGTCCTCCTCCGGGAAGGGCCGGTGCTCGCAGGGCTCGGTGGCACCACAGTCCAGGCAGAGCGGGGAGCGCATCTTCAGCTCTATACCACGCAGCTCCACGCGGTCACGGTGGGCAGCCTGAGGGCAAGCAGAGCACGAGGGGTGGGGGTCAGCAGGTGTGAGCATGTGTGAGAATGTGTGTGTGTGTGGTTGAGTTTGAGCATTATGTGTGAGTATACATTAATATGAGTTTGAGAGTATTTGGGTTCGAGTATGAGTGTGTGGATGAGTGTGTGTGTGTGTGTGTGTGTGTGTGTGTGTGTGTGTGTGTGTGTGTGTGTATGTGTGTGTGTGAGTGTGTGTGTGTGTATGTGTGTGTGTGTGTGTGTTTTTTGGAGGTTTTTTTAGTAGAGGGTTTTACGGCGCTTGCAACTGTATAAAGTTATATGAGCGCCAAGGGGTGGGTATCAATAGAGAAGTCTTTACAGGGAATCAGACTTACTCTGCTCATCTCTCTAGCTTCAACAGCACAAGGTCTGCTTCAAATATCAAGGCACCCCAGAAATAGCAGGTCACAAGAAGGATAAAGTTACTCCATAATCTTCCAACTTAGAACACAACATGACATGTACCCCTCAACCAACATCTCAACCGAATTGGAGTAAAGCAGTCTGCTGCCTGCCCACTATGTGACTACCCCTCAGAGACAGTGGAACATCATCTGTTCTTCTGTAGAAAACTAACTGATTTAAGGTGATGTTTTCTTCCCAAGTTACTCCACACATCTAATTGCCTCTACTCCTCAAGACAACAATTAGAACAAACATGCAACTATTACCGAATGGCATCATGCAGAAGAGTTAACGCTCAGATGCTACTGGATCGCTAACAACAACAACAACAACAACAGTTACTCACTTTTAAATGAAGGACAATGGACCACTTGTCGAGAAACTCATCCTGGCAAATCCAGCAATGATAGACCAGGACAATTGGGTGCTTGTCTTCTTGCGAGACGCTGTCTTCCTGAGCCTTCCGAAGCTCAATGGAAGGTGATCCACCACCTGTCTCCTTGCTGACTGGTACAGCTGAAGATGTCTGTTCTTCACCAGCAACACCATCATGCTCACTCGCCTCTGTGGCTTCCACTATTTGTCCATCTTTTGCCTCTCCACTTGTGTCAGTGGCATCAGGAGTCCTTGGGTGTGGAGGTGAGTCTGGTCGCTTGTCATTGGCTGAGAGGTCAGTGGGTGTAGTGCCATGTGTTGTGCTGCGTGTTGTTTCATAGACAGGGAGATCACAGCGCGGTGTGTCGAGGGCAGGGAGGTCAGTGCTTGTTGTGTCGTGTGTTTCATCATAAGCAGAGTGGTCATGACGTGTCGGGGTGTGAGTCGTGCTGTCAGCAAGGAGGTCAGAACGTGTCACACCCTGTGTTGTATCACAGTTAGGAATATCAGGACCTGAAGAGTTTTGTGTTTCATCATAAGCAGAGAGTGCTGTTGCATCACGCGTAGCCATTTCGGAGTGAGAGGTTTCGTAGGCACGAACAGAAGTGGGTTCAAACTCATGTGCAGGATGTGAAGGGCCAGCCCTTCCAGCTACCGGAGGGAAACATTCCGGGTCTTTGTATCTGCCATGTACATGTGATGTTGTGTTTGTGTGGCGAGATGGGGCAGGGTTGATGTCCCACGAGCTGCTATCCAGATCCCGTTGACGACTGTGGCCTAGACTGTCGCCTGGGAGGGTGTCTGAGAGCCCACGGGTCGTGCCACCTCTCATGTCCGTGGCCAGATTGGGAGCACCCTCAGTATGATGCCCGTGAGCTCGCTGGGGTGTGGAAGCTGCATCAACATAGTCGCCAGGATGTGAATAAACACCATCAGCAGGCTGTGCCAGGCTGTGTGCAGCAGGTAGATTGCAGTTCCTGTCATAAGACGATGCGTAGCGCTGCCCGAAGCGTGAGGTATAATCTTCAGCTAGGCTTGCTTGGGCATGAGCCATCCGACCAAACCCATCCCTGTGATCCTGGCCATAGTGCAGTGCAGGATGAGCCCGGGAGTCCACCACTGGAGGCCACGCATAGTCCACCACCCCAGGTGGAGCAAGGTCGAGATCTCCCGCTCCCGCTACAGAACGCATGTCCCGGGGATCAATGTCCGCCAGAGGGCGATGGGCACGGGGGTCAATGTCGGACAGAGAGCGGGTGTGGTCTGGGTGTCGCTGGCAGTGACCTAGATGAGCAATGAGGATGTCCTCACGAGGAAAATCAATGCCGCACATCCCACACAGCCACAGACTGCCGCTCTCTGTTGGTCGTAGCTTCCACATCCTGTCTGTCTCCTGTCACCAAGCTCTTTTCATGTCTACCATCACTTCCAGTCCCTTAAAATATTCAAAAACCTGGAAAAATATTAAAAAGTGCAAGGTCAAGTCCACTACGTGACTGTCACACAAATTTTAAAAAGTGAATTTCTTTGTTGAAGTTAATTAAATCAATATTTATTTGTACATTTTCAATAGCATGGTATCTGAATATGATGGTAATTCACAGTCACACTAAACTCCTTTTTGATTCACCGTAGCTTTATACTGTAGAATAGAAAAGTCGTGTAACAAGAATGCAGTACTTTGCACAGCATCAGGTCCTGCATGAGGTTGAGATTAAATTTTCATGCCACATGCAGTACACAGCAAGCTAGTTTCATAGCACAGAAATTGTGTTTTTAATCAAGGTCACAATAGGGTAAAGACAGTGTAGTAGTGAGTAGTGGTAGTCTTTCACCTTATATCAATTGGAAAATATATATAAATTTAGTGAGACCACTATACTCAGTAACAGTAACAGTGACTGTTCTTCGAAAAAATGTGCAGCACATCCTTGAAAATAAAAAATGTAACCTTGCCAGAGCAATAATTCTAGATCTAGTATCCTATAGTGACTTTAGTCAGTGAGACTTGATTTCGGCAATGATGAAGAGAGTGACTTTTATCTCTGGTGTCACACTGATGAGTATGAAGTCTCGACTGATTAATGGGGAAATGAAATACCTCACCAGGAGCCAGGAGAGCAGTTAAAACCAATAAGAGTGTGTAAAGTAGAGACATGACCAGGAATAGACCATCAGGAGCATGATGGTAGAACGACACCAGTCCTGCAACACACCGGACATTTAATTTGGCCACCTTAAAAGAGGATGCCTCTTGAACAGCCAGTACTGGGAGCTTACACCAGATTTAGATGCTCTGGGAGGACTTCCATAACGAGTGACCACTATGAGACAGAGTAGAATAGAGGGCTAGGGGTAGGGTTAGGGTTTGGGTTAGGGTTACTAAAGGTAGGTACTAGAAACTAAATTTTCAAACTAGCTGTATGCCAAATGTATCTGTTCCATTTGAAAGGCCTATATCCACTGAGCATTTTGGTACCATGCTTTAACCTCTCCGTCAATTTTTAAGAAAATTGTAGTTGTTTAAAATTTGATCAAATTTGT